GAAGAGCTCACAAAACACTACCTCAATATGAACTGGATTAAGCAGAGGAAATTTTCATTGTATATCACTGTATTTCTCCTACTAAATACAGAAAGAGGATATATAAAAGAAAGGTACTTTATGCATACATAATGAATAAATGAAGAATAAATATTTTACTTTTTCATTAGCTTTGTATTTGCCTACTTCCTTGGCCTCAGTTTCCTCTGATTGAAATTGGGAATGAGACTAAACCATGTGAGAGTCAAATGAGCAAACTGTACTTCCCGGAGATACAAACTTTGTTAACTTTGTATCTCTGGGAAAGATATGCAAGTCTATTCTATTACATACTTGGGAAATATTTATAATGATGTTTTAAATCTCAAATTAATGCATAAAATAACAGAAAAATTTATTTCCATTGTTTAAAAAGTATTTGCCAAGAAAAATATGCTTGCTTGTATGTCTGTACATATTCACAGGTACCTCCTATGAATCTATTTGGACATAATCTATTCAGGTTTAAGTTTAAGATGTAATAGGTAACACTGTGCCAAAGCTTAGACATAAGATAGGGCAAAGGAAACAAGATGTGGTCAACAGTAGGTTCTTAAAGTGGGGTGCATGATTAGCCATCTTCCTCAAAGTCTGTTTCTCTCAAGGTATGTCTGTGTCAGGCAAATGTGCTGCTCAAACTTCTTTCTAGGGGGCAGCAGTGCCCTGGATTTTTGCCAATATTCCTCCCTCTCTCTTTAAATCTCCTTCAGTGACTTAGGTCTTCTTCAAAGAGTCAAAGTCAAAGGAAATATCTGTACTAATTTTGTTATTACATAGGCATACTGATACTAGAAAGTTAATATTCCAACAAAAGTCATTAGAAGAAAGGGTTGTTGGAGGGCATTTATAAAGAAAACATAACATGGTACAGTTAAGAGGAAACTAATATATTAAAATGACTGCACAGAGAGAGAGGCCCTCATTTCAGTATTGAATATATAGTGTTCATTTTTACTAGTATATTTTGTCTACACTTTATTGCTAGTATAATAAAATCAAGGTTACTAGGGGTAAATGTATGTTTATTTACAGAATAAAAATTTGAGACATGAGATTTTAAGTATTTGAGGATTAAAATCTGCTAAATAAAAGATCTGCCCAAGAAGTGTAAAGATTTTGAAGAACATGCAAATAGATTTAACTCTGACTTAGACTTTCTTAAAATTGCTGTGATTTGTCAGGAATGGAGAATTTATGATTTTTATTTTGCATGGAGATTATGATTTTACAAAACAACTCAAAATCCTTAGCAGAAATGAATTCAAAACTCTTGACTCCTGTTTTAGTACTCTACTGGTTGAGACACTAGACTGTAGTAAATCTTGACTACAGATTTTATACATAAAATTTTATTTCTTATGTCACTTGGCCATATTCAATTACAGCTCTAATTATAGAGAAGTTATTAAAATGTTTAGCAAGTTTTACAGTTTTATATTATGTTCTCTTTTATATCATATGTGCTAGACCCTCATCCCAAACTCTTGAAATAGTGGATTTAGTACTAGGAGCATGATGACTCACATGACTCTGGTCATCTATCAGGAGAAAGATGGTGCTTCATCTGTTGCTACTAAAAATTAACCCATAATGTCTCCCTTTTCCTAACACCATCATTATCTGGGTAGGATGAGAAGCACTTCTACTTTACCTCTTATTTCCGATTAAGCCTTCTCTTTGAATTAATGTATCCTGGATTTTTATTTTAATCATATTTCAAATATGGTAAGATTATACAAGAAAAAATGTTGTTTGGCCAAGCTTCTGAAGTGTTCTGGAATAGCATTGCTTATTATAATATTAGAGAGAAATTTTGCGTGACATTATTTTTCAAAATATATGGTACTGACATTGTGTCTTTTCTCCAAGGGAGACAAAGTAATACACCAAATGGGAAAAATTCTTCTCTGAGTTATATATAACTCTTAATTTTTGCACCAAGCTCTTACTCATCACTCTTAATTGCCAAAATCTTAGAGCTATGAAAAAAAAATACAGTGCCACCCCTAATCATATGAGATCTGATATTCTTATCTAGAAAAATCTTCACTCTTTAACAGCTTTCTTCACTTAACATTTGGTGAAAAAGTGCAATAACTACTGAGGAAATGTAAATATACTTCAAACATGCTCACTGTTCTTTTTTCTTACATTTCCTTGTCTCTTATTTTAAAAATATGTGTTATTGATACAATGGGAGTGACACTTTTAAGATAAATTCAGAAATGCCCCTGTAGGATCAACCATCAGACATGAAATGTGAAATTCTGTCACACTGGTATGAATGACTGCTACTATAATCACCAGATCCTCTTTTATGGGGGTTTTTATTAATTAAATGTAAAGTCTGGCATTGGCCTTATAAAAGTGCTCATCTGTTTTCCTTTAATTTCAAGTAGATTAAAAGTGAGATTTGGTGTTAATTAAAAACTTAGAATTTATGGGAATTTTAATTGCAAACAACATTTCAGTGGTGAGTACTTAGATGACTTCTTAGTTCTGTTTGGTAATCAACATGGTATTGAACAATGACAGGATAAAAAATAAATCATTTGAAGAAAAGAATGCCATCATTAGCTCTACTGTCCATACATAGCTTAAATCCTATGTAGTTCGGGGGCATGTAAGAGGAGAAGCTCAACAGCTCAGGCTAAACATTTACCTTGATGCCTGGAAATTTCATTCTTTCTATTTGGAAGGATAGCAATAAAAGTCAACAAGTCATTACCAAGATTAATCAGTTTAATTGAAATACTTTGACACTGATTTCAGCTATCTATTTTTAAGTTGAATTTAGGATGTATAGGGTAACTGATGACCAAGAGATCCATGGAAGTTTCTTATTTATTATCTTAACCAAAGCCTGTTTTTTTTTTTTTTTTTTTTTTTTTTTTTTTTTTTTTTGTGTGTGTGTGTGTGTGTGTGTGTGTGTTGGGGCGGGGTAAAGACATCTTCTATTGGAACCTGTAGTACACCTATTTTTCAATTAGAATCTTTGCATGTTCTCTTCTGGCACGAGTCGGGTTTAGCCTTGACACACTGGGCTTTTAAGGGGAGCTCTATCTTTGCAGTCCAGGCTACACGTGATAAGATTAAATTGGCACACTTTACTGTACAGCTCTTGTGTTCTGGCAGCACTAGTCTGGCTGATACCTCTGAGAGAAGGCTCAGCTGTCACTCAGTGACCCATTAACACTACCGTTCCATCCTGCAGTGTCATTTTTCTCATTCTTATGGAGATAATGCTCCCTGGAGATCTCTAATACCTGGAAGAATGAAAGAGAACAGCACAGACAGGCTAACTATCAAAGAGGGAGCAAACAACACAGCAAAACCATGAATTCCAACAGTTGAATTTTAAATTGAGTGAAAAGATGAGGCCTATTATGATGGCTGGGTTCAGAAGGTGGGGAGAGGATCAAGTTTTAAGAGGTATCATAACTTTTTAACAAGCTATTTTCTCTTTTCTTTCTGAATATTAACAGAAGTACCCAAAATAACACTTGCAATAAGATATAGAGAAGGCAGCTTCTTTGCACATGTAATAGGAAAATTTGGGTAAGAATTTATCATTTGCAAATAGGCAACGAATATAAAACAGAGCACATATTAAGGTGAAAGTCTTAATATTCTAAATAGAACAGGATACCTGATTAGGGTTGGCTTACTGGGGCACAAAATTGCCTTCCTGGCAAAAACACAAAAAGAGAGAAATGATATGTGATCTTTGTAGCCCTTGGTCTAAGGCTTCTCTTCTCTTGTGATTGAACTGTTACTGGTGGCATAAGCAAACTCTGTTGTTCTCTTGTAGTCCAAACCATATATTGTTTGATGGGTCACTTTATAAGAAGTTACACTTTCTAATGGTTACTGCATAAAAAGGCATATAAGAACATGCTTCTAGATTTCCTGGACTAAGGCTGATCGAGTTTGATATGAAAGCAAAATAAATAAATAAATACCACTTGAAAGTCTGTGGAAACCTGCGGAAGACATCTTTATAGAAAGCCAAAAAGAAAAAAAAGGAAAGAAACAAAAGGAAGAAAGTGAATTAGTCAGAAAATAGGGATAACACTGGGTAAAACAGGGATTCAATACTGTTTTTAAAAGTAAGAAAAAGTAGAGCGTCACAAACTACAAACTTTCTACCACAGTCTGCCCCTCAACCCTGCCTCCCTGCCTCCAATTTTCCCACACAAGGCAAAGAATATTACTGGGTTTAGATGGTTATTTTCAGGCTGAGGTTTGTATATGTCCTCCCTCCCCACTTCAAGTGTCAAAGGTACTAGAAGCCATTAGGATAAATGTGGTCTATTATTTGAGAGTACTGAGTTTTATTTAAAAGGGGTTTTTGTTAATGCATGTGCTTATTTTGCTTTTAAAGTTATCTATTTAAGCTACAAATAATTTACAGCTTTCTTTTTATATCAAAATACACATGGCACATTATTGAGTAGGATAAATACTCATACCTATTTTAAAGATCAAAAACAAGACACAAAAGATATATTGGTAGGAAGCAAATATCTTTGAACTAACTCTCAGGACTCTCGTCTGCCTCAGGGATTGAATTTGTTCCTTTCTTCTGTTTGCTGTGCTTGGGGGTAAAGCTTAAGATACACTGCTCCAGGGTTAGCAGGGAAAAGGGACTCAGACTATTGAGGTTCAGCAATGACGGCGGTTAATTAGGATGGCCTGTAGTTCCACCAAGCCCTCCAGAAAAGGAAACCACTATTAGTCATTTTACATTTGGCAGGTACTGTACAAATCAGTCAGCTCAGTCTGCGTGTCCTGGGTCCCAGTGCTGTGCAGGACCTGTCTCGGACCTGCTGTGCAGGACCTGTCTCGGACCTGCTGTGCAGGACCTGTCTCGGACCTGCTGTGCAGCACCTGTCCTGTGTGCTACCCAGATGGCGCCACGTGCATTGGAGCACCGGAAGGAGATGCGGCCGCGCCAGGCCTTCCGGCAGTCGTTAGGAGACGTCACCAACGCCGCGGCCGCCGCCATCCACAGCCCTCCATGAAGAATATGCCGGCTGCCTTAGTCTCCCGCGTGTTGAGGCGTATTGCGCAGAAATCAGCTCGCAGAGTGCCGGTGGCATCCTGTAACTATTCAAATGATGCTACATTCGAAATTAAGGAATGTGATCTTTATCTGTTGGAAGAGGGTCCCCCTGTCACCACAGTGCTCACCAGAGAGGAGGGGCTTAAATACTACAGGATGATGCTGACTGTTCGCCGCATGGAATTGAAGGCAGATCAGCTGTACAAACAGAAATTCATTCGCGGTTTCTGTCACCTGTGCGATGGTCAGGAAGCTTGCTGTGTGGGCATTGAGGCCGGCATAAAGCCCTCGGATCACGTCATCACATCCTATAGGGCTCATGGCACATGCTACACTCGGGGAATTTCTGTCCGATCGATTCTCGCAGAGCTGACAGGACGAAGAGGAGGTTGTGCTAAAGGAAAAGGAGGATCGATGCATATGTATACCAAGAACTTCTACGGGGGCAATGGCATCGTCGGCGCACAGGGTCCCCTGGGCGCTGGCATTGCTCTGGCCTGCAAATATAAGGGAAACGATGAGATCTGTTTGACTTTATATGGGGATGGCGCTGCGAATCAGGGGCAGATAGCTGAAGCTTTCAATATGGCAGCTTTATGGAAATTGCCTTGTGTTTTCATCTGTGAGAATAACCTATATGGAATGGGAACATCTAATGAGAGAGCAGCAGCCAGCACTGATTACTACAAGAGGGGCAACTTTATTCCTGGGCTAAAGGTCGATGGAATGGATGTTCTGTGTGTTCGTGAGGCAACAAAATTTGCAGGTGACTACTGTAGATCTGGAAAGGGGCCCATAGTGATGGAGCTGCAGACCTACCGTTATCATGGACACAGTATGAGTGATCCTGGAATGAGTTATCGTACACGAGAAGAAATTCAGGACATAAGAAGTAAGAGGGATCCTATAACCCTTCTCCAAGATAGAATGGTAAACAGCAAGCTCACTACTGTGGAAGAATTAAAAGAAATTGGGGCTGAGGTGAGGAAAGAAATTGATGATGCTGCCCAGTTTGCTACCACTGATCCTGAGCCACATTTGGAAGAGTTAGGCCATCACATCTACAGCAGTGATCCATCTTTTGAAGTTCGTGGTGCAAATCCATGGATCAAGTTTAAGTCCATCAGTTAAAGGGAGGCTAGGTGTGAATTTATCATCAGCCTCTCAATGGAACATTCATGGTCAAATTTAAGAAAACTGTGTTCTCAGCTCTGTTAAGTAGGAATAAAACTCATAAAAGCCTTTTAAACATTTATTAAAAGATATTAAGAGATTAAAAGAGATTGAAAGGCATACATTCAATAAAAGTGGTATTATATTCTATTTTACTGTCTTTTTTGCTTTAAAAGGTACTATATAGGTAATAATTGAGTGTGAATATCTTAAAGATTATTTTGAAATTTATACAAGTCTAAGATAGGAAAAGCAGATTATTTAACTTCCCAAACTATTTGTCATAATAGTTCCATTTGATTTAGCTTTATACTATTTTAATACTCTAAAGGAAAGATAGTTGTTTCCTGCTTCCCCTGCCATGGGTTTCTATGTAGAATCACAGTCCTGAGGTAAGGAGATTATTTCAAGCTACTCAGGACACCTATCAATATGTAACCATTTACTTGAATTAACTAATAATAAGTACAGTTTAGTGTAACAGTGTGCACATGTGCACTTGTGTGTGCACCCACACACGTGGTGCTGAAGCTTGTTAACACTGACCATTTTCCAACAATAAATGATATTTAACATGGCATGGGAGGAAAAACAAGGATTTTTTTTCTTATTGTATGTGAATATACAATTGTTTTCATATTATTGTCTATATTATGAGATAGATTATTATATTTTTAGTCTACTAATCTTAGGGAAAAATATAGCAAAAATTAAAATCCTGGGGAAAAACTGCATTCCACTTTCATCTTTAAAGCCACTCTTACTTTGCAATCCATTTATATATTCTAGAGTTTAATGGGCCATTCCAGTGAATTTCAGATTGAAAAATGAATAAACAGAGATGGTAACTTCAAAAGAGTTAAGCACAGGAAGTGATATTAACAAAAAGTTGAAAGCAAAATCTACCTTGCTTACTATTAACCATGTGTTAGTAATCATTACATGATTATTTAGTATCTTTTAATGCAACTGATCATTCACAGATAACTTTTTCCAAAGGAAAACCCAACAGGTCTTTTCTACCGTCCAGTACCATGTCAATTATCAAGTCATGATTTGGTGAAAGCAGTTTTACTTGATTATATTTGACTACCTGCAATCCTACTGAGCTTGGTGTTTGGTATATGTCATTCTTCTGAGATAGACTAAAAACAGAAATGAGAATTTATCTGTGATTTAAGAAACAGTAGGTGGAACATACTAACACAGTCAAAGGTTAATCCTTTTTCTTTACTGTATAGCATCTACTTTTACAAATAGAACCTAGATGCTAAGAAATAAGAAAACCAAAAGTTCAGAGGCCTGTGAGAAGGTGAACATATGTACATATATGTACAGGCTTTAATCTCTGTATCTTATCCCAAACAAGTTTAAACAAGTAAGATAACCTAACATTCTGTATTCAGAAAACAAAGATAAACATTGTTTTTCTTATATGTAAGTGATATTACTAGTTAACACGTTTTGGTTAGAATGCTGCAGCTGTTCAGAGGTACTTGGATTGGATTCCTACATTCAAAAACAAGGATTTTTATAAGAGATTCAGAATAATAAGTACATTCTTCTAATGATAAAGAATTCTTTTTATTTTGACATACTGATATTTTCACATATTTGCAAGTGAAAAGCTGCTCAATTAAAGCTATTTTACATATGTAACATACATAAATAATTTTTAAAGTTCTTTAAGGGATTACTTTGATGCCAGCAAAAATTAAGATACAAATAACTGATTAGAAATGAAACCATCCCTAAATCAAGATACACAGATATTGTACTTCACTTCAGGAAAATAAGCCAAATTTTGTTGTTAGAGGAATAAAATATGTTTGTCATAACACAATATAATCAAATTTCATTAAAGCAGGGAGTTTTCAATATTTTCTGTATTAAAAAAATGTTCAAATTTCTGGCATACATTGGTAATGATAATCATATCACTGGTTGCACACAATTCTGTTATCATGCAAACAAAAACCAACCGAAAAATTCAAATGTGTTGGTTTCAATTAGGTCAAGATTTATTGCTTGACTGATAATAGTAATAATTTATCAAGCTATAAAACAAAGAGGTGTAGAAATCTAGCAATTGGATTCTATTTCTCATCTATAGTACTGGGCTACTCAATCTGTTTTATCCTTACATTAAAATATGTACTAAGCTATGATAGCCATAATAATAATTTCACTGTTGCAGCAAAGCTAGACTATCTGAGAAAAGGAAGACTGCCTAATTTCTTAATCTTTATAATACATTATGATAAAGGATTGTGTAGTAAGTATAGAATGGAATAAGAAAGGAGGTTAAAAAAAGATTTATAAACGTTATACTAGAATATATCAGAATTACACTTTTTACAAAATTAATGGATATATCTTTCCATTTAGTGTACAAAAAACAGAGCATATTGTTAGGGAAATTGAACTTGAAAATTTGTGAGAATTAGGTTTTAAAAATTGAAATATAATTCACAGACCATGAAATTTACCCTTCTAAAAGTGTACAATTCAATGGTTTTAGTACATACACAAGACTATGCAGCCATCACCACTGTCTAATCCTAGAATATTTTTATCATTCCCATTTTCAGTCAATCCTATTTCTCTTGAAAACTACTAATCTACTTTTTGTCTCTAGATTTGCCTATTCTGGATATTTCATATAAGCCATGCAATATGTTGGTCCTATATGACTGGCTGCTATCCCTTAGCTTAAAGTTTTCATGTTTCATCCATGCTGTAGCATCAATCAGTATTATATTCTTTTTTATGGCTGAAAAACATTTCACTTATTCATCAGTTATTGAAGATTTTGAATTTTTTGTACTTTTTGACTATTCTGAATAAAGTGTTGCTTAGAAAAAATTCAATCACAAAGACAATAAAAATGTTGAATGTATTGTCTAAGGCAAACAACAATATTCCTTATGATGCAATCCCTTTCAGTTATAAATCATGATGAAGAAAAGTGTTAAAATACTCTAAACCTGAATATTTTTCAACTCACGTAACCTATTACTCCAATTAGGTTTTGAATTACAATTTTAGATTTGCATAAAATTTGAGAACAATGTACAGATGTACTGTACACACTGCAGGCAATTTCCTTTTTATTAACGTTTTATATTAGTGTATGGCAAGGAAAAAGGTAAATTCAGCAGGCTTGTGTTACTCAAAACCTGCACACTGAAAGAAAGACTTCTCTTCATACTCATGGGAGATAATCTCTGAACCCTTGTAATATTCTACCTGATATGAATGTTTTTGTGAGCCTCAGGCATTGGGCCATACTTTGTCAATATGACCAGAATAGTTTATTGTAATATTGTTAAGATAAACGATCCCTCTTTACTCCACTGAGAAGATATACCTGGAAACTTCTGCCTGCTTTGTCTTGAACTTATCTTCCTGTGTCTTTTCTCTTTGCTGATTTTAATTTATATCCTTTCACTATAACAAACCATAACTATAAGAAAATGCAACCTAGCTTCTTAATTATACAGAATAAGAAGCTATATAAAAAGGAGGAAGTCCAGAGATATGAAGTGGCTAATTCAGGTTCACACAATGATAGTGATAGCTATGGTATCAGTCCATTCTCATGCTGCTATAAGGATATACCTGAGACTGGGTAATTTATAAAGGAAAGAAGTTTAGTTGATTCAGAGTTCAGCATGGCTGAGGAGGCCTTAGGAAACTTAACAATCATGGCAGAAGGGAAAGCAAACCCATCCTTTTTCACAAGGTGGCAAGAAGAATGAGAGCAGAGAAAAGGGGGAAGCCCCTTATAAAACCGTCAGATCTCAGATCTCATGGGAACTTACTATCACGAGAGTAGCATGGGAGAAACCACCCCCCAATTCAATTACTCCCCACCAAGTCCATACCGTGACATGTGGGGATTATGGGAACTACAATAAAAGATGACATTTGGGCGAGGACACAGCCAAACCATATCAGCTACTAATCATAGCCACTATTCTATTTTTCTAGATTGCTTTTGAGTACAAGACACTATGCTTAGTATTTTGTATACATTAACTCACTTGATATTTACAATATCCATATAAAATAGGCATTGTAATCTCCATTTTACAAAAGAGGAAATTGAGGCACAAGTAAGTTGCTCAAGATTTTGCAATTCACAAATGGAGGATGCACGATTAAAAGCCAGGCAACAAAGTCTATATTTTGAAAATTACTGTTTTGTTCTGCTTTGTACAGTAATAATCACCCATGAAACCTGTTTTAAAATGGTTCATTAATAAATGAATGAACTAAACTAGAACTAAGGAATTTTATCAATTACTAAAATTGAGTCTAGATTTCAGGTCTAGAGTAGAAACACAAAGACCACGACTAGGAGGAAAACAGACACAGGAAATAGGAAGTAAGGCAGAATAAATATAGCCACAAAGTTGTAATACTCCTCCCATTAAGAAATTGGATCTATGTCCCTTCCTCTTGAATCTTATGACTGCTCTGGCCAATAGAAACCAGCAGAAATGATGCTGAAACGCAGTTTCTGGGTCCAGGATATGAGAAACAGGCAGCTTTTGCTTCATAGCTCTTGAAAACATTCTCTCTAGGAGCTGTGATTCTCCACTTTAGAAGTTCAAATACACTGAGAACCTCCTGCTAGAGAGGGCACGAGCAGACATTCTGATTACCAGTCGTAGCTGATGTCTGCCTTGCAGCCAAATTGGCAAAGGCAACAGAAACCTGAGTGATGCTCTCCTAGACCCTCCAGACAGCCCACAGACTAGCTGAAAGCTAACGAGTGATGTCAGACAATGTCTGGAAAAAGAGTAGAATCAAAACCAAACTCTCCCCAGATTGCCAATGTACCAAATCACAAGTAAAAATAAAAATGATTGCTTTTAATATTCTAATTTTTGAAGTACTTTATAGCAATAGAATAAAAATTGAGTTTAGACTCAGCAGAAATTAGAATTACATTGCTTATTCAAAGCCAGGGATCTCAGGAGAAGAGATGAAGGTTAGTAAACCAAGTCAGATTCAGAAAGCCCAAAGGATATTCCACTGCACAGGTTCACAATTTAGAAGTATCAAGGGAGAAGAGATGAGAACCAGTGAAAAGAAGACAGTGAAAAGGGACAAAATGACAACTGTTAAACATATAATTTT